GTATAAGAGCGATAAGACGGTGGTAGTTATCGCAATTGAATGTGGCCCCTTTTTTGTGCAGGGGGATAATAATTGAAGTTGTTTATTTGTAGGGCCACACTCCTGTTCTCCATATCGTTTGGCAGATCATGTGTATACTGGGGTTTCAATAAATTCATCCCTGTAGAGGTTTTCACAGTAATTCCTAAAGACCTCTGTAATCTCATCTATGTCTGTTTCTTAGATTGCCGTTGGGATCGCAGATCGCCCAGGTGTGGGGCTTTAATCTGCGGGTTATGTATTTTATTTTCGCGAACGCATCTTTCGACTGTGTGGTATTTGCATGTAGTTCAATTTGTTTGCAGATATTGTTGAGGTGATGATTCTGGTCCTTTCTGCAAATTGCCTGAATGAACTTCGAAAGTATCTGATGCTCATCTCGCAATTCCTGGTTGGTAAGGCCGTTGGTTTTGAGTTTTCTCTTAGTTTCAATTATGTCAAGCTTGCTATCAGACATCCAATATTGTTTCTCGGCAGGTTTGATTTTCGGTTATGTTGCATCTAGCGTTGATATTATTGTGTGTTTTGTGTCCATCCACATCTTGTCTAGATCTGCTGATTGTTTTGGTAGTAGTCCTGAAGGAAGCTTCATCTAATACCAGTGGTAGCTTGGATCTTGGTATTGATCTCTTGCATTCTTGGAGTTTTATTGGAAATTTGCATACTAAGAGTTGTTGGTCCGATCCGCAATCAGCCCCCGGAAATGTCTTTACCGATAGAATCGATGTTCGCCAGCGCCCCCGTATTAATATGTGGGCTAACTAGATCTTCACCTTCTTATCTGGTGAGGTCCAGGTGAATAGACGGCGTATATGTTATTTGTATACTGTATTCGTGATGCAGTGTTATTGTCTATGCAAAATTGTGCCAGTCTCTCACCCCTACTATTTCTAGTTCCTATGCCGAATTTTCCCACAACATGACGTAGGTGATCGTCCTAGTGCGTACGTTCAACCTTGGCATTTAGATCGCCCAGAATTATGACGATCACGCGGTTTGGTATTTTATTAATCTAGGTTTCGAGGGAAGCATAGAAGTGTTCTACTTCCTTATCACCCGTCCCAGCCGTAGGTGCATGCTTGGATTATGTTAACATTGTAGGGGGCTGTATTAAATCGGACGCAAATTACGCGTTTGCTTATAGCCTTGTATCCGGTGACTGCGTTGTTTAGTCGGCCAGATATTATCAAGGCAACGCCTCCGCAACTTCGGTCTTCTAGACCGGAAAACTTTATTTGGAAATCCGCAGCGCTAAAATGACCATTGCCTCGTCGGTGTGTCTTTGCAATGCCTGCAACTTTAGCATTGCAGCGTTTAAGTTCATTTTGCACTATTTGAAGCTTTCCAGCTTGTAGCAGCCCCTGGACATCTCAGGTTGCTATACGGGTTCCTTCGATGATCGTAGATTTACCATGTGGAGCCCAGTGGTCCATTGCCACATGCCCAGTAACCAATTTCACACCGTCACCCCGGACGCAGGACGGCGCCGGTCGTTAGTCGGTACGTCGAACGAAAAATTTACAATAGTCGACATTTCATTCATGTTTTCATGGGAGCATAGTGCCGTAGGTTTCCGCGTCTTTCTGCACCGCAATGTTCCAGCCGATGTAATCGTTCGACAACTACGCCTGGAAGTATTCTTGAATAAGCCGTAGGACTGCTGCCTCCTACCAGATCCTCGCTATATCTGGCTACCCTCATCTTAGTTTCGCCTGCAGTTGACCGGGGTGTGGCACGTGAAGCCATAAGTGGGAATCTCGTGAGGACCAGTTCCCATTGCCCATCTCCCGTCAAAGACGGTTGATGCGACCGTCAACGGCAAAAGGTGCTACCTCTACGACGTCACCTCATACTCCCCATGATGAATGACCAAATGAATACTAATAACATTTAAATTTTTTAAATTATTTTGACGTATATATTATATCAACGGAGTGGGATTTCTTATAAACAAAAATATAGCAAACAACGTCATACAATTTAAAAGCGTCTCCGAGAGAGTGGTATCACTACATCTCAGGGTTAACAACAGATACTTTTGCAAAGTAATACAGGTATACTGCCCAACCACAGACTTTTTCAAATTTTATGAAAAAATCAACGAAGATCTAAATTGTGGAAGGGCAATTACGTCCTTACGTCCTTTTAGTGGGAGACTTTAATGCGAAAGTCGGGAAAAACTAGACCCGGAAGAAAAACTAGTGGGTGCAATTAGCTTAGAAACAAGAAACGAGAGAAGCCACATGCTGATAAACTACATTAAGGAAAACAAATGATATGTTAAGAATACCTACTTTTAGAAAAGAGAAGGTGGGCGTTGGACTTGGAAATATCCAGATGGAAAAAGCAAAAATGAGACAGGCTTTATAATAAGCAATAACAAAAACATTGTCTTGGATACAAGTGTCATTAACTCTGTCAAAATGGGGAGCGATCACCGAATGATCAGATCTAAGATATATTTTAATACACAAATAGGGCGACAAAAAGTGGTCACAAAAATGTCTCGAGGTATCGAAATTGAAAAACTTAAACTGAAACAGGAGCAATGCCAGCACCAACTGAAAAACTGCATTGACAGGAGTATACTACAGGCTCAATCTGTTGACATTGAGAGATCAAAAAAGAGATCTCACAGCAAATTCCAGAAATAGCGCAAAAAGTGGCAGATAAAAACAAAAAGATGGAACATATACTTGCGGAAGAAACTATAGACCTTATTCAGAAACGCAAGACAGTTTACGGACCCAGACACGGTAAGTCGGGTAGAAATTACTGTGATTAATAAAGCTATAAGGAAGAAAATAAGGCTCGAAACAAAAAACCATAAAAATCAAAAAATTAAAGAAACGTTACAAGATAGAAAGGAGTTTGAAAAGGCTGGAAAGAGAATTTCGCAGTCGAGCCCACATTGGAAAACTTTTAAACGGGAATAACATCGAAGTTACAAGAACGGAAAAAATAAAAATAATAACGGAATACTTCTATCGATCACTATATAAATGCAGAGTCGCTTCAAAATCAAAGCGTCAAAAATGTCAAAAGGATGAGCAGCAGGAAAAGATGGGATCATATTGGAAATGTTGACATGCGGAGGGGAGACTATAATCGATCTCCTAATGATACTTTATAATAAGTGCCTGCAAGAAGGTGATATACCTGAGAACTGGAAAAGTGTATTGCTAGTGTTACTCTTCAAAATAGACGAGGAACCAAAACTCAGTAATTACAGACCAATTAGTTTGCCATATGTCGAGTATAAAGTGTTTATAGAAATAATAACAAAAAGACTAACCAAAAAACTCGACAGCTATCAGCCCAAGGAGCAAACCGGTTTCAGGAAAGGATTTAGCACTTTGGATCACCCATAAGTTATAAGAACAATCGTAGAAAAGGCAAATAAATACAACTTTTCTCTTTGGATAGCTTTTGTCGATTACTATAAAGCGTTTGACTCCATCGAAACATGGGCTGTGTTAAACGCGCTAAGTAACTGTCAAGTAGACCACCGGTGCACAACTTTCATTAGAAATGTATATGATAAGGCAACTTTTCGAGTTGTATTGAAGGACTGTGCAAACAAAATTAAACTCGGAAGAGGAGTCAGACAGGGTGAATACATCTCACCAACATTATTTACGCATGCGTTAGAAGATATATGTACCGGTGTTCAGTAAACCATTAGTTCAATGTGTCCTTCTGTTGTGTGTATCGTACATACGTAGTAGGAATGTTTCCCTTCTTCGGTATTTATTTGGTGCCTGGGAAAGTGTCAGTTGGTGTGCAATGCTCTGAGTAAGCCTATAATTTAAGAAAATTGATTCTGACACCAAAGGTATACAGATAAATGGAGAATACTTGAGCCACCTTCGTTTCGCGGACCTTATCATTCTGTTCGCGCAAAATCAGCAGGATCTGCATGAAATGATAACATAGCTAAATCAGACTTTTAGGTCTTAAAATAAACACCGAAAAAACTAAATACATGACAAACGAAAATAACACACAAAATATAAATTTCGAAATCAATAACACAAAGCTATAACGAACACTCATATGAATGGTCAAAGTGGTCGCTTAGGTCAAATAATGAAATTATCAAAAGGTATTTTAAAAGCAGATTGATCTCGTAGGATGGTCAACTTTTGGAAGGCTTAGGGATGTCTTTTATTCAGATCTCCCAACCACTCTCAAGGCACAAACTTTAAGCTTACGCCAACAAAGGGCTAGAGAGACGGGAAAATGGTTCTGGAACCCGTGCCTGGGCACAGACGAACAGGTATTGAAGATAATTGCTGCAGAGCCTTCCAGGCTTACTCAGAGCATTGCACAACAACTGACACTTTCCCAGGCACCAAATACATACCGAAGAAGGGAAACATTCCTACTACGTATGTACGATACACACAACAGAAGGACACATTGAACTAATGGTTTACTGAACACCGGTACATATTGGGAAGGACTTAATTATCCGAATACCAGAAGATGCTCGAGAAGAGTGCACAATAGGGCGGTTAAACAGACATTAACTTGTTTGGAATTAAAGACAAAAATGTATGTATATTTGAATACACATCTATTCGAGGTTATGCTGACAATCTCGTTAACAATATTGCCATTTGAAATAGTATACCCCTACATTTAACGAATCCTGTCGAATTTACCGTTTATTCGTATCTAGTTTGTTGTCACTTTGTATATTTTTCCATGGTTACCGCTGTTTTTAATTATTACGAAGCAACATATATTTACGTGGTGTTAATTAGGCAGATTACTTGGAAAAACGTTGTTGCCATCCTTCTGTTTTTTGCAAATATAGTTTTTAAAACAATTTTGTATCACGCTGCAATTATAAAAGTTACTGTTTGAATTGGGCTTGGTTTTTGAGGCACCACACTGCATCTCGCTAAAATACATAATTATTCGTTCGCATAAATCTTAAGTATATCTTTTTGTAGGGCTATATAAAATAGTGATTAGCAACAACCCCCTTGTTACAATGCCAGATGAGGCTTTTTTGGGATTGGAAAGGTCTCTATGGGAGTTAGAACTAAGTCATTGTCAGCTCACGAAAGTTCCTAATCGAGCCTTAAGATATTTGCAGAAACTCAGAATCTTAGATCTGACCGGTAAGTTATTTAAGTTTGATGTTAAGTTAAGTTTCCATGATCTTAGTAGGTCACTGCTTGATATGAACCGTATCGATGTAAATTTTCAGGAAATGAGATCAACAAAATTTCTCCGGAAAATTGGAGAGGACTAGAAGGCTCTTTGGAAATCCTAATTTTGGCGGACAACTCATTAGCCAAGCTTCCGCTAGATGCTTTTGGAGGCTTGCCCATGGTGGAAACAATTGATTTAAGAGGAAATAATCTTCGTGAAATAGATCCAGCGGTAATTTACTTAACTTAAATTTCAGACAAAAAACTTAACTAGGGGCTGTTGTACGACGGTCTGTGTAAACTTAATAAGCTCATTTCTGAAGTGTCTAAGTAGATCGGAAATTATGCTTTTTCCAAACTTTCACCTTTCAGCACTTTGTCACATTTTAAATGAGCTTGAAATTTCTCTTGCTTAAGCCAGTTTGTGGACGTAAGATTTGGCAAGTTGTATGACGACTTCGCTGGTGGGGACCTTATAGTGCTCACAATTGGTGTTGTGCTAATTCTGGTTTATGAATATTAGATAAACCATACAGTCTCGGTGGCAGAGCCCCCAACTTTTTAAAGCTATTTATGTGCTCTGGAGCGTGTAAAAATTCTTTATTTTTGTTTGTTTTTAGAACAAGTGGTTGACATTTTCCCGTTCAGAAATGTGATTTGAGAAAGAATAAAATATCTCGCTCGTTACAATATAATTACGACTGGTCTTCTTTTTTCTGCTGCGCAAGCTCTAAAACGTTAGAGGTCAAATCCAATCGACCACGGCATATAAATCAGTATAGCTTTTCAGCAGATGCTTTGTCCACCCGAGAAAGCCTTCATGGTGTGATTAAATTCAAGACACAACCGACATGCAGGGTGACCAGACTGAGAAATGGCGTAGTCGCCAACTACCGGACAAACATCGCCAAAAATCGTGAAGACTAAAAAATCGCCAGTTATGGCGTCAAGTAAATTCAAACGGGGTAAACCAATAAAAACAAAGGAACGGTTTAAATTAAACAAGTACTTTATTTTTTACCAGTTGAATTGAAATTATATATTGTCACATCTGGTCACCCTGCCGACATGATGGGGGCTTACGACGCACGCGCAATTTAAAGTTGTTGGGCGATGCGGTAAGGATTTGTCAGAGATGGGTGTAGACATCTCCGAACTATCGCCAAAGCTATTTTATGAGCGAAAGTTCTCAACTTCTCGTGTTTCTTATGGTATATTCGAGGTGTGCAAAACACCTCTGACAAATTTACTGAAACTCAATCAAACAAGTTTATGTAATGTGTGTATGTACATATAATAAAGGCAAGCGCTTTCGACAATTACGTCATCATCAGGGCCACTAAAAAACAACAAGCAACCTGGAGGATGGAGGATATCACGCAGACAAAACAAAGTAAAATAAAACAAAACTTACTCGTCAAATTACAAGCGAAGATCCTCTAGAGCACTGAACCGCACATGCAAAAACAATGATCAGAAATGGTCTAAAGGGCTAAAATTGTATATGACAAACTTACGAGAAAACAGACTAAAGTTAAAATTAGAATAAATTAGAATAAAATAAGATTAAAGAACTTGACTAGTCGGCCTTAACAGTACGGCGACCAGTCTGGTAAAGCTGGCTCAAAAGCATCGGCAGAAACACTGCACATTTGGCTGACAAAGTGAATTTTTAGCACCTTTTTTCGTTGGTGCGAAATACTGAATACTCAACAAATTCGGAATGCTCCAAAAAATATATAAAATAAAATAAATAAATATAAATATATATCTTTCTTGAATGAAAAGGTTCCTTAATTAAATAGAATTAAATTAAAATTAAAGGGCAATAAGAGGGTTCGGCGACTGGCCTGGGTAGTAACAGGCAATCGTAAACATTAATCGAAGCCCCAAGATTAAAACAAAAGGTCTTGTGAAGAGAAAGGGTACAATTTTATGCTCAAGAATGAAAATAGAACACTGACAGTCTCATAACGTCCTGACCGTTTGACTGAAATAAAATATAAAAAATCACTTAAGTGATGACTCTTGGGATGGTTACAGAGTGAAATCCGTACAACCCTTTAAAATAGGAGAAAAATCGCAGTTTAGGTTATGTATTGACGCACTTCGAATCAACTTTCGCTGCCTCCCTATGAATCTACAAATCCTCCAGCACGTTCAATCTAAAGGAGGAGCCAAAAACGCTATACAATTTTCTGAAGGTTATTTTAGAGAACGCTTTCGTATCTGAAAGGAAATTTTGCAAAATGTTTTGTTGCCACTAAGCAATAATCAGAAACAAATCACAAATCGAGGCCTTCCTGCTCTTTTGATAATAAATATGTTTAATGAATTTTAATGTCAGTCCCTTCTTGGTGAAAAAAAAATTGAATCTTGTATGTATGACGTGTTGTTGAAATAATAATAATAATAAACTTTTTCGTAAGTTATTATAGCATTATTGCAATTTTAATGTTTACAAAGAAGTTTCGGGATGGATTGGTTGATTTTGTCAACCTTAATAACGGCTTTTACTATTTATCTTTTCGTAGAAAAAATAGTTATTTTATGAATTATTTGTACAATATCTTATCCTTCGAGGCAGCTAGTTGCAATAGATAGCGATTATCTTTTCTCCCTTTGACGGCGTTTCAGCGCTGACTTTTAAAACGACTTCACGAGTTGATTAAAGCAGTGCATTGAGCAGTGCCGAACTGGTAAATAAACGAACTTGTACAATAAATTGTAAATTAAAAATACCACAGCAAAATCGGACGGTGGGGGCCACTAGAATAGCGATATTGCTGCGCTCATTCCATGGGAGACTCGTCGGCGATTCCATCTAACGAAGAACAACTTTGCATGAAAATTCCGTCGCCTTCGCATCGACGGCGGCACGCTCGGCTATCCACCAAAATAATATTCGACAAAGTGCCCTAGATCGACTATGCATGCCTCCGTAAGAGACTTGACATGTAAAGTTCATCGTGATTAGCCTCAAAAGGAACATGAATGACATATAATAAGTGGTACCGCCATTAAATGTATCGACTTCAATTGAATCTACGAAATTGCTGATACAATAACTTTGCAATATGTTCAAAATTTAATAGCCAGCAAATACATAATTTCTATTTAATAGTTAAAATTCTATTTATACTTTGTTATTATTATTTTTCAGATATTCCGTGATGGAATGGGCCACTTAGCGCATCTACTATTAGGTGACAATCAATTGTCTGCCATTCCGTATCAAGCACTACAGCCCCTAAGAACACTAAAAACACTTGATCTCAGCTATAATCATATAAATAAAATGTCCCCAGTTACAGATGCAGGTGCTAATATTAATATAAATTTCCAGGTAAGTGAGTAATCGAACGAAATGTGGTAAATTGATAAGTTAAAGTTTTCACGTTGCGTTGGAGTAATAGTAAAATACATCAATTTCACCGCAAACTTCTAGAATTTTCGTTGGTAAAAATTCGCTTAGGTTTTCATCTTTATTTTACTTAGCCGTTTTGTCGTGCTTTACGTACAGTCAACTCTTTTACCTCTTCCGCACATTGAATATCATTAAGTTTCCGGAAAAGATGTGTCACGTGATGAACATATTGCAAACTGTAGCCAAATTTACCACAAAACATGCAGATAAATCCTGTCGTTGCAGGACAAGTTTACCAAGTGAACTTTCTTCCAGTTCCAACTTGTTCTTCTAAGATAACATTAATCTAGCTCATATTAATTATCTCTGTCGCATATCCCTAACTTATAGTTGGCTTCTGAGCCTGACCTCCTGAATAGTGTATCTAATACAAGAGTGTATGCAACAACCCTTGAATATTAGTTTTGGCCAAGCGCTTTTGATAAATAGGTCATCATCGGTGCCGATCCGAAACAACAAAGTAACAGTTAATTCCCTAGGGACATTGTGTAATTGGAAAAAGGTGCAAACGAGGAAAACTTACTTGTCAAACTATAAGCAAAAATCTCCGAGAGAAAATAAAATAAAGAACGAACTAGCGAGAAAACGGATTAAAATTGAATAAAAAGGTTGTGCGATCCTGCTGCAGATTGCAGAACCATAATATTTTGGATTCACTTCCATCGTGTCTTCGGGACGCAAAGAAACAGAAATAGTGATTCTGAAATTCTTGTGACTAATTTTCTGTTTTTTTTTTCTGTATCTCTGGATATTAACTATTGTTCAATTCATCTCACTTGTCAGTTCGACTATTGCTCTTCTGTTTCTGTATTTGCTTCATTAGTTTACCATAAGGTGTGTGGAATTTTCACCTCCTATTCAATTTACATTACATTATTATAGCGACATCATTGTATTATGCTAAAAACTGACCACGCAGCCATCTATGGCGACAAGACAATTTAAATTTTCATTTTTCTGTTGGAAAATTAATTAATCTATTTTCAGCTTAACTTGGACACTTTTAAATTGGACTACAATCGCTTAAGCGTATTGGAAACTACATCTTTTCAGTACTTTAACGTTCTGAATAAAACGTTTCTGGACGGTAATCCGTTAACAACTATTGAGGTAACGGCATTATGATATTGAAAACTGAGTGCAGACTTATATTATATTGCGTTTTCATGAATTTTAGGATAATGCATTTAGACAGGCCAAAATTCGGGAGTTGTACATAAGAAGTTGTGGCCTAACCAATATTTCACCCGGCTCATTTGGAGGGCTGGAAAATTATTTGGAAAAATTGGATTTATCTGGGAATAATATTTCGCTATTACCAAAAGATGTTTTTCAAAGGTACGTACCATATCTTGTTTGTGGCATAGATTAATTCCGGAAAACATATTTTTAAATAGTTGACATTTTGATTGAAATAATAGTTTAGCAATATTATAGTGTTATTACATAAAAGTGTTTTGTAAGTAATGGTCATGAAGGAATTACAGATGTTGAAATAACAGAAATTAGGCATATACGCCATTTTCAAGTTTTGTTTCTTTTTCCAATGCAAAACCTTAAGGTTCGCATTTAAATTTAAAATTTTCTGCAAAATGAAATAGGCAACTGCAGATTTCGAGGTGCGCCCGATCACCCCATGACCGGTTTCGAGCCCATTAGCACTAATCAAATGCGTTCGGCCAGAAATTGTACCCAAAAAGTACGAATTTGGAGCATACTTAAAAGAAAACGATGTAGGCATTGATCTCACCTAATAAACCTTTCTCAGCCTAACACTCATTTCTACATAAACCACTACACTACATATCGTCCAGACCAAAATACACACAGCGGTGGGACGGTTAAAATGCTTAATTCTACAGTCCAAAGAAACTCTGCCTACAGACCCCCTAACAAAGCAACCACTATCGCTGATTACCAAGCCGTTTTTAACCCTACGTTAACCACCCTCCTTGCCCGAGACCCTAACAGCAAGCATATTATATGGGGCTGTAAAAGATCAAACAGCGAGCAAAACAAACTCCTCTCGACATCTCAAATCTCCTGGAAAGCACTGAAAAGATCTGGACCTCCAAATCCACGTCTCCGATGAACCCGCCCACTTTCACCACAACAGCCCAGATATTTTCGATACCTCCGAAACAAAAAATCTCGCTCTTAATTTGTCAATTTCAAACTCTGACTCGCTCAGTTCCGACCGCACGCCAATTAGAATCCTACTAAACGATAACTTCATGCACAACCCTCTCCAACCATTAATATACACAGACTGGGACGCACTGGCACACTTCCTACAGGCAGGGCCAGATTAACCTACGATCCCTGCAGAGGCCCTTTAAAAAAAAAGGTTTCATACCACCATCTTGTCGCGCTCTCTTTGACGGGGACCCGGGGCTACGCACCTTGCAGAGGCCCTTTTCTAAAAAAAGGAAAAGCCGTAATATAGATCTAACCGAGGCCCCCGACCGTGAGGCCCGGGGCTATAGCCCCCGTAGCCCGACTTTAGATCCAGCGCCGCCTACAGGAAATAACTATCCCAGACACCCCAATGACAAACATTCACGATCTCAACTCTCTAAATAACACCATCACCGAGGCTATTTAAAAATCAACCACGTTAAAAAAACACCAACAGAACCATTTCGGTCTTCCAATGGAAATTAAAAATAAAATTAAACTGTGTTGATCTTAAGCGAATTGCAAAAAGAAACTCCGACTCTCTTCTCAACCGTGAAGCTAACCAAGTCACTAACGAAATTAAAAGGCTAATTTTGTAAATAAAGATCAAAAACTGTAAAAATTATCTTGAAAATTTAGAGCCTGGTGATAATTCGGTGTGGAAACTCCAATAAAAATATTTCACTAACTTTTCCTCCATTCATGGCAACAATGAACTGACGTACAGCGATGAAAAAGCGGAAGCTTTCGCCGACTCACTGGAAAATCAGTTCAGGGTTGACTACTCCATGGGTTCGAACTTCTTCATCTTCATCAGCCTGTATTAATCCACGCCTGGACATGGGCCTTTTGCATTTCCTTCCATGTTGACCCGTTTTGTGCTGGTAGCATCCAGTTCTTTCCCGCTAGTTTCTGTATGTCGTCTCGCCATCTTAGCATGGGTCTGCTTCTCATGGCATGCCTCTGCGTCTCTTTGTTCTCTGTGGTTTCCACTGCATAACGGTCTTCGTCCATTTCTCATCATTTCGCGCAACGTGTCCTGCCCAACGCCATTTGTTTTTTGCAGTTTGGTCTATGACGTCACTCACTTTGGTTCTTGCTCTGATATCTTCGTTTCTTTGTCTATTTCTTAAGGTAATTCCCAGCATCCCACGCTCCATCGCACGTTGACCATGCCGTAGTATTTGTGCACTTTTCTTTGTCATGGTGACTGTCTCGAGTCTGCCATGAGTCATGAGTCTGCCTCTGCTTCTCTTTGTTCTCCGTGGTCTCTGCACTGCATAACGGTCTTCGTCCATTTCTCATCAGTTCGTGCAACTTGTCCTGCCCAACGTCACTTGTTTTCTGCAGTTTGTTCTATGACGTCACTCACTTTGGTTCTTGCCCTGATATCTTCGTTTCTTTGTCTATTTCTTAAGCAAATTCCCATCATCGCACGCTCCATCGCACGTTGACAAACCCGTAGTTTTTATGCACTTTTCTTTGTTATGATAAGTGTATCGAGCCCGTACAATATAACTGGTAGTACGCAGGCATAGTGTATTTTCCGTTTTTAGATTAATTGGTATCTTCGGTTCTATAAGGATGTATGCGAGTTTTCCAAATGCTGCCCAAGCAACTGATTATCCTCCTTATCTCGGCTGTCCGGTTATCTTTGCCTAGTCGCATGCTGTGTGCCAGATATACATATTCTTCCACTAGTTGAAGTGTTTGGTTATCGATATTGACATTGATGTTGGTGTTGCTTGAGCCCATGATATTCGTTTTCTGGAGGTTCATTTCTAGTCTTACCTTCTGTGGCTCTTTCTTTAGTTCGCATACCATGGTGCTAAGTTCGTCCTGGGCGTTGCTCATAATCACAATGTCGTCGGAGAATCGGAGATGACTAAAAAATCTTCCGTCTATGTTGACTCCCTTTTGTTGCAATGTTAAGTTCTTACACACGTCTTCTAATTCCAGGGTAAATAATTTTGGAGAAATTGAATCGCCCTGTCTTACCCCTCTCCGTATGGGGATCTTATCGGTTGTTAAATTTTTTTGTAGATATCTTTAATGAGGTTAATATATCTTGAGTCAATCCTCGCACTATCCACTGCCTCTAGCACCGCCTCGATTTTCATCGAATCGAAAGCTTTTTTGTAGTCGACGAATGCGAGGTGTAATAGGATATTAAATTCGTTACACTTTTCAATAAGAGTACGTACCGTTTGACTGTGGTCCTTTGTACTACAGCCGCTTAGGAACCCGGCCTGTTCTACTGACTGGTAGAAATCAAACTTAACTTGGTTATGATTTTGGTAAGAAGCTTATACAAAACGGACAAAATACTGATCGGTCGATAGTTTTCGATGTTGGTTCGGTCGCCTTTTGAAGAGAATTATTACCTGAGAAAAATGATCAGTACCTTCTCTAGAGTTGTTCCCCCACTCTTCACCCTTTCTGTTGTAAGGCGGTTTTTTCCTGGGGCCTTTCGCTTTTTAATCTGCGTCAGTGCCATTCTCAGCCCTGCAGTATCAATCACCGGGATGTACTCGGTGCCCACATTCAGGAGGCTGTAGGTACAGATAGGCTGTAGAGTTCCTGGTTCCTGGTCCTGGGTGTAGGTTCTGGACAGTGGATGTGATCTGTTCCCTCTCTGTCACGACTTGTCCTTGTTGGTTCTTAATTTTGTATATGACCGAATTTCCCTTTGTTCTTTTTGATTGGCGGACTTTCACATTCATGTTGTCTTCAATGGCTTCTTGTGTGGTCTTTGTGTTATGAGATGTTAGGTCTTTGAAAAACGTGTTCATGCAGTTCATTTGTTCTTTGTTCATAAAGTCAAGCATCATTTCTCCTCTAATGTTTCGCGTGCCCAGTCCAAAATCGAAAACCACCGATGTTCGGAGCGTCTGTCGCAATTTTTCGACCTATCTTACCATTGAAGTCACCGATTATAACCTTGAACTTCGTACTTTTAGCTATCGTCAGATCTTCATAAAATTGTTCGATATCTTCGTGTATTGCTGTTGATGTGGGTCATATACCTGAATTATCTGCATGCTGTATCTCTTGTTTAGTTGGAGCATAATGTACATAACGCGGTATGATACAGTTTTGCTTTTCGTGACAAGATGTTTTCTCTTACTGTTTACCATGATCGCTATTCCTCGGATATGATGGTTTGTTTCGGAATTTTTCTTAAAGAACATATGTCCAGATTTCAGAATTGTGTTGGGCTGGCCTTTTTGCTGGATCTCGCTAATTCCTAGTAGGTATGTCCCATTTGATGTATTGGAGTTCGCTTTCTAGAATGTTCGCGAATGTTTTATGTTAAGACTAGGATGTTCTCGTTTGTTTTCCGATTTTTACCTGCTAGTGTCGAGGTTTTGCCTGCCCCAGAATCCTTGAGGCTGGCCGATGTATTAGCGCGATATTTTGAGCACTCGCCTGAGGTATTTCGATTTTAAAAATCGACATTACATGTAGGTTGTGGAAGGAGTTTGACGTTAAAACGCCACGCTTGCCAAGCGTGTTGGGAAGTCTTGTTCCCAGGCATTAATTCAGCCGCCCAATCTGGGACAGACGCTGCTGGTTTGTTTAGCCATATCTGGCTACTCTACTCTATTAGCCTGTGGGTCAACACAGTTTCCCGGATGTGGCACTTGGAGCCTTAAGAAAGAGCTGGGCACCCCATGAGGATCAGTAAAGTTCGAAGAATATGTGGAGAACTATAACCTTTCCCTAACTTCCATGACTGACTGAAACGAACGAAACTATCCCCCCATTCACACTAGATAAGTTCTATATTGGTGAAGCCGCTTCACATTTTTGACAAACTACTTGTTGGGTATTTCGCCTCAAAAATGTTTGTCTTTAAAAATGACAGAATTTCATTCAATTCTGGAAACTGATCCGCCATATCCCAGTTCTACATAGAATCTTCAACAACGTTCCTCCAGAATGTAGAATTTAAATAAAGTGTTTTCTAAATAAAGACTGATTAAACTTTCAGGATCTTCTATTAATTTAATTACATAAAAATAGTATACGGTAGACGAAACGAATGGCGAAGGGGCCGGCCAACTGCAAGCAGTGGCGGAACTTCGGCTTTCATCTTTTAAACTAATATTCTCTCGATTTCTATTACAATATTGGAACCGAAAAAGACAACAAAATTTATTTGTAGAAATGCTTAGCTGGCGTTATCCTCATTTCAACAGCAACCGTTTTATTCTTCCACAATGAGTTTGTTTTAGATTTCAATTTATCAAAGAGTTGACTCTCAGAGACAATATGGTGACCAATTGGACCCCAATGGAAACATTCACGAGTTTTCAGTTCACTCTAAACAATTTGGATCTGAGCGGAGCAAAAAATTCTCCTATAAAACTTCAAGACTTACGCAGGTGCTAAACTAAGCAAAGCAATTTCTAAGAGTTTCTAAGTAAAGCAAATTTTAGGTTTAGAGGTTTGAGAACTCTAACGCTCTCTAGGCTTATTCAGCCGCATATAGCATCAGAAGACTTTCTAGAATATGGTGTTGACTTAGAAGAACTCTCTATTACCTATGCTAATTTGCAAAGCATCAAAAGTAACGCATTTAAGTATGTTCATGGATTGAAGCATATAGACTTGAGTGATAACAATATTGGAACTATTGAGAATAATGCTTTTAAAGATGTGAGTGGTAAATGATATGCAGGCAGTTTCATCGATTTAATAAACAAGGATTTAGATTTTGCTTAGATACAAAACGAAAATATAAGTCTGAGTTACGAATAAGTTTTCGAAAGTGAATTACTAATTTTATCCAGATGTTGTTGCATTGCCAATTAGCAACCATATTTTATAATCATATTAACTTCTTCTTAATTGTGTTGGTTGTATTTGAAATCAATTTTCAATTCGCTCACATGAGAACTTCCTCTTCTATGCTTATTAAATATATTTATTTTTCGCCAAAGCTATATTTACAGTAATTTTGGTTTTTAGATTGGGTATTCTTTAGAGCAACTGCACCTTGCTCATGCCTTTTCGTCATCAGTCACTAGTATTCCCGGTGACGGGATAAAAGTGCTCAACAACTTAGAATACCTAGACCTCAGCAACAACAAGTTTCGAATTATGGAAGAGAATAGTTTTCACTTTCTAGGAAAATTGCGAAAACTTGAGTTACAGGACAATATTATTGAGACAATTCACAAAGGAACCTTCCAGGTTGATATGAACGTTTACTAAAGTACCAGCATATTTAGTTTATGTGTTTTTCATGATTTCGCATTTAGAGTGATATTCATTCAAACTTGGAGCAAATTTATCTTTCTTTCAACACCCTCAAAAGCATTTCCCAGCATACTTTTGTTCATTTGCCAAAACTGGAGCAACTGCACATTGATGACAATAAACTGGAGACACTTGAACGCAGATCGTTTATGAATTTGGAGCGTCTAAAAAGGCTCAACTTAAAAGGTAAGTTTAGATAGCCTAGATATCTAAATGTATGTATACAGGGTGTCCCACCGGAAACCACCGCCATCGATATCTGGCAAACTATAATTAGGAGAAATTTGAAAATTGAACCGTGTACCGAAGTCATTGGGGGCAAGCGATCTAAATTATTTTCAAGATGGCCGCACTTCCGATTATACCGGAAGTAGGTATCAACCGTTTTGTGGTCTGCTCAAAATATGCTTTATAATACAGGGTGATTCAAAATTGGAGTCATTCCTCTGGAGGTGTTGTCTGGCGCTGTTATAGGAGTACAAAAAATATAGTAAAAGAAATTAATTGTTGTTAAAAACTGAGAAATTTGCAAAAAACTATATGAGAAATACGGCAGCAATGTTTTTCAAGGTAATCTGCCTAATTAACATTGCGCACATACCTGTTGCTTCGTAATTATTTAAAACTCCGGTAACCATGGAATTATACAGAGTGACAATAAGATAGACAAGGATAAACGGTAAATTCAACAAGATTTGTTGACTGCGGAACGTACTATGGTGCGCATTGAAGCACCATGCGTTTCGTCCCGGGCCTACCTATTGGACTAGTCAGTAAGGCTAAGGTAGGCCCTGCCTTAGACGCCGGATTCGGAACATAGGTTGGAAGTTCTATTTGAATCGAAACGGCATAGATGTTATTGGATGAGATATATGCTGGCATTTGAAATGGTGCTTAGGTGCTGCCACCTGTGAGTCGGTGAATGAAGCTGCATATGATACACCACAGTACTTTCCAAATGTCAACCTGTTCTCATAACCTCGAATTGGTGTTTATCAATAAACCATACAACACCAAACATTTGAATG